GGGGAAGAAATTAATTCAACAAAAAAAAAAATGACCATAATGATATAAACATACCTATATTCCGGAATGGATGTTGTAAATATAAACGATGTACTTAACATACCAGCAATAAATACTGGTAATATTGATAATAAAAATATTTCCCATTGATATCTACCAATATCACCTAAATAAACAAGAATATCATCAATATTCTTGGTTTTATTTGATTCTTTACGATTTTTCATTATATAAGATTTGTCGATGTTTTATTCAATTAACCACTTTTGTTTATAATGATGATCGTTGTGATTTAATGGAATTTTTTTGTCATTTTGCATCGTTTTTTTTGTTCTCGATTCGATTGCAATCGACTTTCAAAAGATTATGGTGCATTTAGAAACACAAACAAAGAGAAAGAGAGGGAGAGATAGATGTAAAAGATATAGGAAATTGATTTCGATGATAAAGCAAAAAAAAAATCAATAAATTAAGAATTATCAACAAAAGTGAACGAATAAATAAACGAACGGATAGATTTCAATTCAATTTTTGTCAAATCAAATCAAATCATGTCATTCAACTAAAAAAAATATATTGAATATCCAATCATTTTTTTGGATTTTTTAATCAATCAAATCAAACACAAACTGAAATGTACTTTTCATTGAAAAAAAAGAGATTTACTTAACTAACACAACCTGTTCATATTTAGTATGGCACAAAATTTTTTCTTTGTTTTTGTTTATTTAACCAAATGATAATGGTGATATCAAAGAGAAAAAAAATGGAGAAAAAGAAAAATTATAGAGAGAGATAAAGAAAAGATAAAGAGAAATTAAATTTTGAAATCATTCAACCATAATTGATGTAAGAAAAAAATGAATAGAAAGTTTTTTGTTTTATCATTTATTTCATTTTATTCAAAAATATTAGTTTTTCCACAAAATATTTATTCAAAAATGATAACGGAAAAGTACCGATATGGAAACAATGGTGTCATTTCTTTTGGGGGGTTTCATTTGATATTAGCATTGAAATTTGGTTTAAAACCTTTAAAATTTGAATCATTAGATGTTATTCGAAAACAATAACCAGCCAATGGTTGTTCAATTTTTTGATCATCAGTCAAATAACGGCGACTTGATGTAACATACATTGTATCTAGATTTGGACCACCACCAAAACATACCGATGTAATCAATGAAGTTGGCATTTTTATTGATTGTAATAGTTTTCCTGATTATGAGAATTTCAAATTCGAATGAATGTTGGGGTTTTTTTCATTAATTTTTTTTTTCTCAAAAATACAAACCATTTCGGCCATCAATATTGACTATTCGTGATCCACGAAACATTGCAATCCAAAGATTTCCATTTACATCGATTGTCATTCCATCTGGTAATTCATCCGAATCGAAATCTTTATTATCATTCATATTCAAAAATGTTCGTTTGTTTGCTGTCAAAGGAGAACAAAAAAACAAATTCAATGAAAAAATGTTCAAAAATCAAAAATTTTTCAAAACAATACTAACAAATATTGCCATTATCAATATCATAATCGAATAGAAAAACTGAACGTTTGCCCGAATCAATGTAGTACATTTTTTTCGAATCCAATGACCAACAAAGACCATTGGATAAAATTATTTCATCAATTTGAACTTCAAGTTTATTTGTCGCCGGATTTAATCGATATAATGCAGAATTTGCATTACTAAAATCTTTTCCCATTGTTCCGATCCAAATTCGTCCGGATGGATCACATTTTCCATCATTAAAACGATGACCATCAACAGAAATTTTATCGATTAATTTTTCAGTTTTTGTTTGTAAATCTAATAAACGTAAACTATTTCCAACACTGATGACAACATTATTATCATTGACTGGCAATACGACACTAACAGTTTCATCATTATTATTCTTATAAATTTCATTGAATTTTCCATTCGAATCATATGTTGCAATTTGACCAGTTAAAATATCAACAAAATAAAGTTTTTCATCCACCGGATTCCAATGTGGTCCTTCACCCAATTCAAATGCACGATCTGATAATGTTTCAATATTGAACATGATGATTGAATTTGTTGATTGTTGAATCGTTTATTTGTGTAAATTGACAAAACAAAAATGAAATTTTTAATGTCCTACAATTTCGGTTTTCAATGACAATTTTTGATTTAAACCCAACCCAATCATATCATCAAAATAATCATCAACAAAATCAATCGAATAACAAAATGATAGCTCAAATGCTTATCATTTGCAATTACGCATTATCGAAAAAATTCAAATTTTGAAGAGAAAAACTTTCCGAAAATTTTTTCCGTTATTAGTTTCAGAAACTTTTTAGAAAAATCCCTAAACAATCATCATCGTATATTTTGGCGAGTTTATGTTATTTACAACAACAACAACAACAACAAACAACAAAAATAATAATAAACAACAGATTTGATTATCGATAACTGTTTTCCTATTTTGTACTATAGTCGATAATTGAAAATGTTTTTGAGGAAATAGTTCAATTAAGCGATATAAAATTATAACAAATTTCATTCATAATAATTGATTGATGTTTACAAAATCCAAATTGCCTTAAAATCAAATTTTCAAAAAAACATCGAACACAATATAGATTTTTTTTCAAAAAAATGGATGATCAATCTTCTTCAACGACAAGAGCTTCACAATCATCATCGAATGATCGTAATAATGGTTCATCATCAAATCAATCAGGTAGCGGTGGTGTTGGTGGAACAGAATCAAATTTTGACTGCAATATTTGTCTAGATACGGCTAAAGATGCCGTTATCAGTATGTGTGGCCATTTATTTTGGTAAGTTTGTATTCCCTTTTTTAGTTTTTGAACCTTTTCATTTAATTTGATTTGTTTGTATATAGTTGGCCTTGTTTACATCAATGGTTCGAAACAAAACCAGATCGTCCAACATGTCCAGTGTGCAAAAATCTTATTTCCCGTGATCAAGTGATACCTTTATATGGACGTGGTAGTTCGAAAAAAGATCCACGTGAAAAGAAAATTCCACCTCGTCCACAAGGTCAAAGATCAGAACAAGATTATAATTCGGTAAGTAATATTGTTGATTTTATCTTAAATTTTGTTTTTAAATCACAATCATTTCAATTCATACAACACAGATGGGATTTCCAAATTTTGGTTTTGGTGATGGTTTTCATATGTCATTCGGTATCGGTGCCGTTCCATTTGGATTTTTTGCCAGTACTTTTAATATTGGTGATTTTCGTACAGGTCCAATGATGGACGGACTTGATCTAGCTCAAGATCGATTTGTATCGAAATTATTCATGTGGATAGCAGTTATATTTATTTTATGGCTTTTATTTGCATAATCAACGGTTATTTGTTGCAAGAAATTGGTTTTTTTTGTTTGTTTGTTTTATTGTTGTTGTTCGAGTTTGCTTTTAATCATCATCAAAAAAAATAAATGTATCAGGCAATCAATTAACTTGAAAAATTTGATTTTTTTTTTTTTAAATATGCCCATATCATTTATTCATCATCATTCATCATTGGTCTTTCTTTGTTTCATTTTTTATTTTATTTTTTTTTTGTTTCGTTATTTTCAATTACGACCAAGTATTTTTTTCTATTTTACCCTTTTTTTCCATTCACTTCTTATAATTTGAATCTTCCCAATAATTATTATTAAAATCATGTATTGTTTATCGTCAAAATGATCAAAATGAAACTGATTTATTTTCCATTGCCTCATCAAAACAACAACATTTCCGCTAAATAAATAATTGTTTTCCTCAATCAATCAATCAATCAATTCAATTTTCTGAAATGGGTATGTGTTTATCATGAGTTTGTTTTTTAAATGTTTTTGTTTTTTGCTGCTGCTCATTTTTAATTCAGTTCATCATTTATGAATATCATCATCATCACCAACATCTTGAAAGAAAATTTTTTATTCAACAACAACATTTGTTGTTGATTATGATCATTCAAAATGACAAAATTATGTTTGGTTTTTTTGTTTTTGAATAGAAAAATAACATAATTTAACTTTTTTTTTATCCGCTAGATATCGATATAATCAGTTGGTTGTTGTTGTTGTTTGTAAAATTCAAATGAATAAAAAAACAAAAATCATTTTTTGATTTTCTTTTCAAGATAAATGTAATCGTTTGACGATGATGATGATGAAAATGTGAAAAAAAAAAATTAAAATAGCACCATTTCGAACGTTTGTTATATACATCTTCGATGTGAATGACGGTCACATGTATACATGGATGGATGGATGAATGAATGAATGAATGAAAAGTTGAAACAAAGTTGAAAAAAAATAAATTTTTTTTGTTTGTTCAAATCATTTAATTTATTCAATCAAATCCTATCAGAATGCCCGAAAACAAAAAACAAACTTTTCATGACATTCAAGTGAATGATGATGATGTTCCTGACTTTGAAAAATTATTCATCCTTGATCCGTATCTTCGTGCACATAAATTAGAAATTCAACGTCGTTATAGTGAATTTCAAAAATTACTCAGCAATATTGATAAAGCTGAAGGTTTGTTGAAATATTTGAAAAAAATTATTCTGTATAAAGTTTGATTTTTTTTATATTCCATTATAAATATTTATTTTAGGAATTGAAAAATTTATACATTCATATCGTGAATTTGGCGTTCATGTTCTTTCAGATAATTCTATTCGTTGTTTAGAATGGGCTCCAGGTGCTCAGGCTGTTTATTTACGAGGTGATTTTAACAATTGGCAACAAACTAGTTATCCATTCAAAAAATTAGATTTTGGAAAATGGGAACTTATCATTCCACCATCGAACGATGGATCACCTATTATCAAACATTTGAGTAAAATTAAATTGGTTATCAAAACTTTTTCCGGTGAATTGGTTGATCGTTTAGATCCATGGGCTAGTTATGTTGTACAGCCACCAAAATCATCCGGTTCAGTTACATATGATCACGTATTTTGGAATCCAACCGATAAATATGTATTGAAAGAAAAAAAACCGGACAAGCCTCGAGCATTACGTATATATGAATCACATGTTGGCATTGCTTCTTCTGAATATAAAGTTGCTAGTTATCGTGAATTTGCTGACAATCTTATTCCTCGAATCAAAAAACAAGGTTCGATAAATTCTTATTTTAATAATATTAATAGTTAATAAATTCATCTTTTTTATATTAGGTTATAATGCAATACAATTGATGGCTATTATGGAACATGCTTATTATGCTTCATTTGGATATCAGGTTACTTCTTTTTTTGCTACTTCAAGTCGTTATGGTACTCCGGATGATCTAAAATATTTGATTGATATTGCACATAAAAATAATATCTATGTTCTTCTTGATGTTGTACATTCACATGCTTCGAAAAATGTTCTTGATGGTTTAAATCAATTTGATGGAACTAATTCCTGTTTTTTTCATGGAAATGATCGTGGAAATCATGATCTATGGGATTCTCGTTTATTTGATTATACTAACTGGGAAGTTCTTCGTTTTTTATTATCAAATCTAATGTGGTATCTGGAAGAATATGGATTTGATGGTTTTCGATTTGATGGTGTTACTTCAATGCTTTATCATTCACATGGTTTAGGTCATGGTTTTAGTGGCGATTATAATGAATATTTTGGACTAAATACCAATACTGAAGCTTTCAATTATTTACAATTAGCTAATTATGTAGTGCATAAATTTCATCCAAATTCAATAACAATAGCCGAAGATGTATCAGGAATGCCAGCTTTATGTAGACCTTCTGAACATGGTGGTGGCGGTTTTGATTATCGATTGGGCATGGCCATACCAGATATGTGGATCAAATTATTAAAAGAATCTACAGACGATGAATGGAATATGGGTCATATTGTCCATACGTTAACTAATCGTCGATGGCAAGAAGGAACTGTAGCATATGCTGAATCTCATGATCAAGCTTTAGTCGGTGATAAGACTATTGCATTTTGGTTAATGGATGCCGAAATGTATAGTTTTATGTCCAAATTAACTCCAAGTACACCTGTCATTGATCGCGGTATTGCTCTTCATAAATTGATTCGCCTGATAACACATGCATTAGGCAAGTATTTTTTTCCCATTGTTATTGTTCTTTTTTACGGATTTTTTCTCTTATTTTTCCCCCAAAGGAGGTGAAGCTTGGCTAAATTTTATGGGCAATGAATTTGGTCATCCCGAATGGTTAGATTTTCCTCGTGAAGGTAATGGAGATAGTTATCATTATGCTAGGCGTCAATATAATTTAGCCGATGATGACCTATTACGTTATTCATTTTTGAATAAATTTGATCGTGCAATGAACGAATGTGAAGAAAAATATCATTGGCTTAGTATGGATGATAGTAAGTTTGAATCGATTTTGATTATCAAATTATGATTAATAATGTAATTTGTTTTTATTTTTTTTAAGGTGGATATGTTTCATGTAGACATGAAACAGATAAAATCATTGTATTTGAACGTTGTGGTCTATTGTTTGTATTTAATTTTCATCCAACTAAAAGTTTTGCCGATTATCGTGTTGGCATTGATAAACCGGGTGTTTATCGTCTAGTTCTCAATACTGATGATCCAGAATTTGGTGGTCATAGTTTACTTGATTCAAATGTTGAATATATTACACAACCATATGGCTATTCTGGTCGTCGTAATTCATTAATGGTTTATATTCCATCTCGTGTGGCCATTGTATTGGCTAAAATTCGAGATTAAAACTTTTTAAAAATTATATTTTATTAAATCTTAGCTTGTCGATTTTTTTAAATAAATAAATTCAAAGATTGTTTTTATCCAATGACTTACGGTTAATTTGTTGATTCGGTTACGGTTGCCATTAGTAACTCTGTTTTTGTTATGCACCCGCGATTATGCCAAACAAAACAAACAAATAAAAAAACATTCGAATGGACAAAAATACCGATAAAATTATGAATGAAAATTTATTTGTTCGAACTAAAAAAACATTCATTAAGAATAATGTTGATGATGACAGGGATGATAATCAATTTGAATTGCAATGTTCAAACAATAGAATCACCGATCTTGAAATCACCGATATCATCAATAATGATGATGCTGAAATGTTAGATGACATTCAATCCAACAACAACAACAACAGATCAATCAATCAATCAATTGATCGAATGAAATTTGAAACTAAACCAATTGATCATGATACTGCTGTGGTTGTAAAATAAATAACATTTGATATCGATATATTATTAATGAAATGTTGTTTGCTCTCTTTCTTTTGTTTTGTTTGATTAGAATTTGAAACGGATACTAATCGGTAATGCAACAATGCCAATTGGTCCTGAATGGCTTCATCAATATTTTGAATTTGATTCAATAAATCCACAACTTTGGTATGGTTTGATTCAACATAAGGTAATTGAATCAAAATATCTTATGCATATTGATCAATATTGATTATTTACAAAAATCAGGGTGGACCTTGTGGTGTTCTTGCATCGATTCAAGCGTTTCTTTTTGCTGAATTTTTCCATTGGAATCATGTTGAAAATATTGAAAATCTAGATAATTATAGAAAAGAATGTTTGAGCAAAGCGATTGGCAATATTCTTTGGCAAATCAAACGTAAAGATCAATCAGTCATCGTTGCAATGTATGTCAATCAATAAATTGTAAACAAAAACATTTTTTTTGAAAAGAAATTCTGAATTATTTTTAGCGAAAATCAACAACCAGTTCTTGATGAAACAAAAGAATTACGTTTTGATAATATTACCGAACGTTTACGTATTGGACAATTTGAAACGAAGAAAAAATTATTCGATTTTCTATTTCAACTATTTCAACATTCGAATTTTCAAATTGGATGCGTTTCATTTGTTTATTCTTGTATATTGACTCGAGGTATTGATGAAATTCAAAATGATTATGATCAAGATTCAATACAAGCATTATTAACACCCGAAACATTACTTTGTAGTCAAGAATTAGTAAATCTTTGTCTAATCGGTCGAGCAATATCGAATGTTTTCGATAATGATCTTAATTGTAGTAATGAATTAATACTTCAAGGTGTAAAAAAACAATCTACAATTGGATTTTTAACATTTTATGAATATGATGGTGGTGCTAAGGTGTGTAATATCTATGATTACAAGAAAAAAATATCAATATAATTGATCAATTATTTTAATTTCAGGTTGGTTCATGTTATAAATCACCAAAACTACCAATTTTTGTCATACTTAGTGAAGGTCATTTTACTGTTTTGTTTGCCAAAGATAAAATCAATAATAATAATCAACAAAAAATTGAAATCTATTATTATGATGGCCTGATGAATCAAGAAAATGAAATACATTTAACAATTGGTTAGTATTATTATTGCAAATGTCTTTGTTGTTGTTGACCAAATTGAATTTCAGACACACAACCAATCGCTGACGAAAACAACGATGATCATCACAATCGATCTCCATTAGAATGTGTCATACAAACTAAATGGCCTGGTTGTCGAATAAATTGGAATGATTCGAATCGTTTGTTTTAGAAATCAGAGAAAACAAATGAAAAAAAATGGTAGTCATTTTATTCAAAATATTAAAATTGTACAAGTAATAAATAAATTTACAAAAAAAAAGAAACATTTCAAGTTGAACAAAAAACAAAAAAGAAAGAAAAAAAATTGAAACTTTCAACATTGAAAACAGAAAAAAAAATTGTTTATTTACAAAGTGATGTTTATTCAGTTTCTTCACCCAATCCTTCATCAGGTGAATCTCTTGCCATCAATGATGGATTCAGACCATTATTTTTGATACGATTCAAAGGGCTTGCCTGTTTATTATTATTATTGTTGTTGTTATTATTTGTCGATTGATTAGATATTGATGAATAATTGTAAACGATTGGTGTATTGGCAAATCGTACAATTTGACCCGTAGATGATGATACTGTCGATGATGATGATGTTGCCATAGTTGTTTGTGATGGTGATGATGATGAATCTATACTATTGTTACGCTTCATTTGACAAGCAATAGAATCATTTGCTGAAACTCTTGTAGCAAATTTTGTTTGTAATTCTTCAACAACGGCTACAGAAGCGGCTAAATGTCGTTGTTGTTGTTGTTGTTGATCATATAATGAACAATTATTATTTTGATTTATCATATTCGGTAATATCGATTCATTATATGGATGAATACTATCGATACATCGATTCATCAATATTTGTTCATTATTTTTGACATCATATGAAAAATGATGATCTGTCGATCGATATGGTTGTTGTCCATATAAATATGTTTTTCCCATCAACAATTGTGAACCATTGGAAGGCATATCAGTTATGGATGATGATTCAAAAAAATTCATTGTATGATGATTGTTGGCATTGTCGTTTACATATGGATAAATATTATTATTGGCACTAATATTATTGTTTATGATATGGCTAGAATTAAGATGACCATCAAATGTATTATTGTTGTAAGGATTTGTTGAACGTATTTTATTCATTGTACCGCTTTTAGTTTTAAATATTAAATTTGTATTAATATTTTTATTTGAAATTATAGAATCATCATAATGTTGTTGACTAAATATCACTGGATTTTTGTTGCCATTACGAAGAAAACTTGAATCTTGTATTGGAAATTTGACATTGGTTGTATTATGGTTATTGAATAAACCGTTACGAATTCCTGAAGATTGTGTTAAAGTTTTCATATCAATCGACATAGACATTGGTAGTTGTTGTTGTTGCTGGTTAACAAATTGATTATTATTGTTGATGAATTTTTGATTGAAATTATTATCAACAACACGAGCTTCCATCGATGGATCTATTGTTGAACATTTTTGGTCAATCATTTTCATCGTCGTATCATTAGTTTCTATTGAATTAATCAATGAATAATCACACATTTCAATTTGTTCAGCAAGCTGATTACTAATGATGTTCATTTTATTATTATTATCATCATTATTAATTTGATTATTATTATCAGATATCACAACATATTGATGAATGAATGATGATTTTTTCAATGATGAATCTGAATTTGCTGGATTCATTGATACTATTAAATTGTTTTTCATTGATTCATTATTATTGTTCGACTCTAGATTTTTATTTGATGCTGTTGTCGTCGATGGTAAAATATGATTTTGGCTGTTTTCATTATGATTATTGTTTGAATATCGTTTCAATGTACCATTCGGTATTGTTGTTGTTGTCTGTAAATGTCTATTGGGAATTATACCATTTGTACCACCATTGTGATAAGAATTATTGGATGTTATTGTTGTTGAACCAAGTATTGTTTGATTATCAACACTACTGCCACCACCACCATTATGATTCGATTGATGATCATTGTTGTTGTTGTTCGTAGGCGAACGAAAATGTAAAAATTTTCTTGAACGTAATACAACCGAAAATATTGCTATCAAAACAAGTAGAAAAATGAACAATGTACCAATAACAATACCAGCAACTTCTTGACCAGAATAAGCAGCAGCAGTTACTTCTAATCGTCTTAAAACAGTTAATGTTACATTTGCTGATACGGTTCCAGCTTTATTATAACCAGTACATACATAGCTATGAAAGAAAAAAGAAGAAAAAGAAAAAGATGAAGAAGAAAATTAGATTAGTTCAGATAATGATTATTATCAAAAAATTTTTATTATAAACAGTGTGGTTCAAACAAAAAAAACAAATTTCCTTCAATCTAACCCTCATTCACATCCAAAATTCTCATCAAAAATCACTGATGCAAACCAACAACAACAACCAGAAAAGAAAAATCGAAAGAATCCTAAGATGCGTGACGAATAATTATTATCATTACAATATGAAAAAAATATGCACGAAAAAAGGATTCTTTTCCAAAGATTGGTCGCAATTTTCAACATTGGAAAAAAAGCAAACCTATATGATGGAAAACAAGAAATTCATCAAACACCAAAACAAGCCCAGAATATCCAGAATCTATGTATGTCTGTGTGCATAAATGACTCATCATCCAATTTATATGTTTCAAAAAAAAATCAAGAATGATGATGTAATGAGAAGACGAAGAAGAAGAAGAAGAAAATTTATTATATGATTAGATTATCGGTATAATAATAATTTTTCGCTTGGATTTTTACCCGAAAAACATCATCATCAACTCTATGATAATTTTTTTTCGTACATTAAAATGAATGGTAAATGAAAAAAAACCATGAACATTCATGCAAATAAATAATGTTATTATTATTATTGACTGCTTTGCTTTCGCTTTTGCTTCTTCATATATACGTATGACATGTATGAATTTCATAAATATTCTTGGTTATGATTTTTTCCTTCTTGGTTGTTTCTATGACTGAATGAGAATAAAATGTCAACGGGAATGAAATGAAATATACTGAATGAATATTTTTTCGTTTCTTGCCATTGCAATTCAATCCATAAATGAACTTGTATTTTTCAATTTTTTTCTATCCCGTTTATTCGACAAATAACCGTCATCACTATCATCGTCGTTGAATTGTATTGTGTACCAAGTGAATCCCCCCGGCCATGGCTACATTTCCATACTTGACATGATGATGATGATCATCATTATTATCTAACAAAAAAAACCCTCCCCAGAAAAAGAAGAATATTCAGAGTAAAGAGAAAAACTGACTGACTGACTGACTGACTGATGAATTATAGTAAAATTTACCCAAACCGACAGTCATAGACAAGACAAGAAAGATTGTCTTAGGATTTTTTGCTTTTTTCTTTTTGAAAAAAAACCATATATTTCATTTTGATGGGATAACCCTATTTTTTTTTTTTTTTTTTGTTTTTGTTTGTCTGTATGAAAAAATCGACGGGATAACAACAACAACAA